TAATAATAATAATAATAATAATCTCACAAGAAAATATTTTCCAATTGTCTTTTATGCTCTGGTATCTTAAAGCTTGCTTAATGTTTTTTCCCGGAGTTCAAATAATTCATAAAAATTTTGCCTTTTAATGAGCCTTTCTTATCAATCAATCAATCAACCAATCAATCAAAGTTTATATTGATGCACAACTATCCAAAAACAAAGTAGCTATTTATATTTATTGTAAAACCAAAACAAGTCTGCGAAGAACTAAAATTATTTTTACAAACAAAGCATGTATAAAGTACAAAGTCAATGTAATGCTGCATTCAAGGCAGATGAAAAGCTGGGACATCTGAGCTTCACATGATTTACTGGGTACTTGAGGCAGACATTTCTGACTTGACACAATAACTCATGAATTGATCCTATATTAAAACACAAATGTACTCATTGACATCACTGGTTGTAAATGTTAATATTGAGGACACATTCAAGTATGCTGACCCTCAATTACCAGGGAAATGTTTAAATATATATTAAGGTTGGTGGCCTGATATTTCATATTTTGAAAGACAGAACTCGTAAGATAAGAATAAAATACAAAAGTAAGTTATATTTGTGAGAACTGAGGGTGGCAGATCGACCCAGGGAACAGGTGAAGTCAAAGGTGAATATGAACATATTTAATTGCAAAGAAAAGTGCTGGCATGGCAGCAAAACACACAGAGGAAACACACACAAACTGGATTAATATAACAATGATTCAACCACCACTGAGGACACGACAGAATACAAAGACCAACTAATGAGTGGTAAACAAGAAACACCTGGAGGAGACACAGCACAAGGAACAGGTGAGTGAGGGCGGAGCTAAGGCAGAGACTGACAGTTGGCACAGAATCGAAGAACACAGAAATCCAGCAGAGGAAACATTATGAGGAGAAACAGACTTTTAACAGAATATTGGTTTTAGACAGGAATATTGATCCTATAATAGAAAATATGTAGACCAGGCATCAGTGTTTGTGGGAATAGTTTAGTTTGTTTTGGTCACATTCCTGCAGGCCAGCTGCTTTATTAAAGCTAAACTAATGTTTCAGACGTTTATTTAGGTATTACCCAGGCAGACGATGGCAGCTTGGTATCCTGCCAAACCCATCCAGCAGACAACACCAGATTTAGATGGACTGATTGTCTTCTGGCTGTTATAAATTCTGTATGCATCCCCCTTATACAGGCCCTTTAGATTTGATCTGAAAGAAATTACACCAGAGACGCATTAGATTCAAACATGGAATAAAATAAGACACCGCCAAAAGCAATGAGTGTAATTAAAAACCTAGATTTAATTAAAAGGATCCACAGATCCAAAAAGCACGTGTTGAGGATGACTTTCAGCTACAAACACACCAAACTTGAGGTCATTAAATAATCTAACTGACTGGTTTATAGGTAGTTTAGTTTATAGATAATTTAGTGTTTTTAATATCTGTAGTCATCTTGAATACAAAAGTCAATTAGTTGTAGATGTACACCCAATGAATGTTTGCTGAGAGTTTCATTAAAAGCCTTCCAGTGGCTCATGAGATAAACACACACACACACATACACACACACACACACACACACACACACACACACACACATAGGGACTTTGCATTGACTTCATTTATTCAGCAGTCATTTCCAAAGCCTAATTATTTACCTTAAACTTAACCTCACAGGAACATCCCTGACCCTAAAACTGACCTAAACTCAATTAAATCCTTAATTATAAAGCCAACCCCTGACCCCATAAACAGAATTGACCCCAAACGGGACCAGGATTTTGTCTCAATAAACCAGTAGTTCTTAATCCTMGTCTTCATGGATGGACCACTATTCTGCATGTTTTAGAGGTTTTTTTCTGCTTTGGCAAGGAACACTGCTAGAAGAAACAGAGGGTCCTAACCAGACTGTGTGTACCGAAAATGGCTTAAAGTCGTCCCCACCAGGTAATAAAACCATGTACACCCACACATTGGTTTTTCTATCTTCATGGAGACTTTTCATTGACTTCTACTCATTTTCCTATTGTTTCTATAGATTAACCCTAAGCCCCACTCAAAAAAGACATCCATACCCAGGCTTTGGTCCCCATAAGGAGCATTGTGTCTCCACAAGGCTGTTTGGCCCACACACAGACATCTGTAAAACTAACCATCWTTTTTTTTTTTTACATTTTTAGCTTTGAGTAGAAAGAATCATGTGAATAAAAAAAATCTTAAAGTAAAGCTGAACAAACATGTTAGTAGTGGTGAAACTTTGACATAGTAATTGTCCATAAAACTTACTATGAGATAAATCTTGTGCCAGCAGGAACTGAATTTGAATTGCTCAAATTGAATCTGAATGTGCACAATTTGAACTTGAATGCCTTGGTTTGAAAATGAATTTCACTAAARTGAAACWGAATTTAATGGTTTAAAACTGATTTTAAAGTGATTTCAATTTTAATTAATTTGCTTTGAAACTGTATTTTATTCTATTAAAAATTCAGTTTGTCTACTTTCACTTTCAGTTCTAAAATTCAGATCTTTGTGTCACATCTTGGTCCTTGAGAAAGCCAGRCAGAGTAATCAAACACAGATCCACAGATTTACATTTCACTTCGGTGAAGCTTCCTTCTGTAATGTAACAGAGTTGATGCAATCCACTGTAAAAGTTACAAAAATAGACAGTTATTTTATTGCAGTGATTAATTTTACCTATAGAAAAAGTTATATTTACATCCAGTGATGGATCAGTCAGCAGCAGCATCTGATCAATATCAGCCTGCAGCTGGGAGAGACGCTGTTAGGACTGAGTTATCTGTCGGTGCTTTGAGACCAGGGAGGAGCTCACAGCAGAACCCGCTGCTCATCGGAGTCCCTAAGACCCCTCCGTTGCATTCAGTTTCAAATTTTACACATTCAGATTCAATCTGAAGAATTCAAATTCAGTTCCTGCTGGCACAAGATTTATCCCATACCTTCCTCTAAAAAACAGCATTTACACAAATACGAGGCTACACATACCTATGAAGCACCATGGACCTCATGAGCATGATCAGACTGACCAAACAAGACAGAGTCATTGCACAAAGGTAGCACACTAACAAGACAAAAGCAGAGTTAAAGTCTTGTTTCAGGGAAATGAAAATATTGAAATAATATAAAACAAGGAGACTTGTAAACCTTCCAGCAGCCACGTGTAGAAAGTCACAATTCTGACCACCTCCATCCTGTCGTCTGATAGGACGATCCCAAATCCCAGCAGCAGAAAGGCAATGTTTTCATCAATACCTGCTCTAACAATGTGCAGAGTGGGGACCACCAGGACCACCAGCAACAGAGCAGTCTGAGGGGTAAAGCACAGATATACTGTACACAATATATAATATGTAGTATTTATACAGATATCGATATTTGGCTCAGATGTACCTGATAAATGGCCACACCAGTAACCAAAGACGACACAGCCAGCTTTAGTGGGAACTGAAACACTGAAAAAAAAATTCATCATTTTAAAACTTTTATACTAGACTTTTTATAAATGAGATAAAGATGAGATAAAATTGTATCTGCACAGAAGAACTCACCTTTTTCAGGTATGTAAATATAACTCTTTGACACCTCCAGGATTCTGTGTAGAAGAGTTGGTTTGTCTGCAGCAGGAGAACTGTTGTCCAATAAATAAACAGAAAATACATTTTGTTAGTTATTTTCAAGGATTAGAACCTTTCTCATTCAAAAAAAATTCCATTTCAGGACAAACACGTTTTGCTACTTGAAAATGTTCAGATTAAAAGTTTMTTTTTTTTTGCTATTAAAAAAATAACATTTAAAAACAACCGAACTGTCAACCAGACACATTTCATCTTCTTTGTTTTATCAGAATCTCTACTCACCWGACAGACTTTTTCTTCAGAAGTGACTTTACATAGTCTGAGTAATAACTGCTGTCAAGGTCCTATAAAGAAGTAAAAACAAGCAACATTTTGTTTGTTTGTTTGTTTAGTTTTTATCACCTGCTGCCAAAAAATGTTGGATTGTGCTTATTTGTGTTTTTTTAATCTGCCTCGTTGGCAAAATATCTCAAAACCTGCTGAACAAATATAAATAAAACTCTGGATTTGTGGATCTAAAACTCAATAAGTTTTGAAGTCAGCTTGGTTTCAGATGGTTGTCAAAGGGAATCAACCACAGTCAACACCTAAACTCYCATATAGCTGAACTGAAGTGTGTTGTGGTAGTAGCTGAGCATCATGTTTCGAGATCTTTGCCATTAACTACTGAATTATATCTCATGAACCAGGGGCTAGATTGTACTAAAGTTCTCAGGAAATATTTATTGGATATATGTCTATGGTTGGGGGCAGTCTCCACACCACGTGACCAGATCCTCTAACAAGCATCCTGCAGGCTGATGAGAAAATATCTTTGTGTGGTCAGTGTAATTAAGGTGTAAATTAACTAATGTATCAAGGAGAGCACTTTCTGTTTAATTTAACCATGACATGTCACTCAAACCAGATTGTACCTCGACAGTTTAACCATAAAAACAGATGATTAGGCGAAAATAAGTAATCAAAATTTATCCTAGTTAAATAAAACGGTATATGTGATGCATTAAAATCTGTAGTAAACAGAATAAATTACATTACTTCACTTTTTGACTAAAATGGATGCAACCATTTCATTTCTTAACAAAAGCTGATCTTAGTTTAAAACTGTGATAAGAAGACCAGCAGGTGACATGCGTTCATTTAAAGCTTTTTAAGGTTTTTAACTGATTCATGTGCTAACCTGGTTACTTACATGTTTACTGATAAATTGCTAACTCTTAAAGATAATGCACAATACTGCTAATGTTTTTAACATGAAAAACTGTCTAATTTGTTTTAAAGGAGAAATAGTTAAAAACATATTTCAAAAAATTATGCTGCAATAAAATTATCAAACTGCTCTGTAATGTTTCACAAAGTTATTATTTTATCTGCAGAAAAATCATCAAATCACTGTTACARATATTTTGTTCAAATATGTTTCATAAATATTCAGTTTTTTATTGTAAGTATTGCTGTGTGTACAGTATTCTCACCTCATCAGTCTCTGGGCCTTTCACAAACAGAACAGGAAACTGAACACAGAGGTAAGCAAGGCAGGCCAGCTGAGGCAGGGTTGCAAGCAGAGCATAGTATTTATAGATCTGTGAAAAAATTCAAATTAAAATTTTAGTTAAGTTGTAGTTGCCCAGGTTTTTGAGCTTAAGTGACCAATTGCTGCCATAATATCTAAAAAAAAAAACCAAGAATGTTGATTATCTAAGACTTAAAGTCCTGCTTAGTGCTGATAATCTGCTTTCACATGRGTTCATTGTTTGTTATGGCTCACACAATAAATGAATAATACACAAATMAGGTTAGGTAAAAAGACAGATGAGCTGATATTAAGGATAAACTAATTAAATCTGACTAATTTAAAATAAGTTTGCTGGTTTGTAAATGATTGGTCTTTGAGGTTTGTTTATCTAATATAAAGTTGTGTTTGCTCTGCTGCCTCTATTTGGCCAAAACAAATCAAACATCGTAACTTTATAACAAAAAGCAGAAATGAGATCAAAAAGATGAGAACCTGCGCTGATAAGTTTAAATGAGCACTAACGTAAAATACAACTTGCTCATAAAGTCAAAATAAAAGTTTTCCAACCATACAGGATGTTATTCAGTTTTAAGTTTATGATTAGGAATCACACTCTCAATTTTCCTTTTTTACTAAAAAAATAATATTATCAGGAGGCTGTTGCTCCACCAACTGAATGAGAGAGTGAATGGTTGTCTTGTTTATCTCTGTGTCCCTGTGATGGACTTGCGATCTGTCTAGGGTGGCTTCTGGACATGGAACCAGAGACCCCCGGTGACCCTGACAGGAAGAAGRYAGTAAGAGATAATGGATGGATGTTGTTTCACCTCTGGAGTCTTTGGACAGTCAAACGTCTGCCACACCAGAACCCCAAAGTGACTGAAGGACAGAAGTGCCCCGAACACGTAACCTGCACTGATCTGCAGGGTCCCACAGACCAGCAGAGGGTAATACAGGACTGGATAGTAGAAAATGGCAATTATCTTCATGTATTCTGGGAAATACGTATAAAAAGAAAGTTTGTTAGGTTCTGTACTCACACAAACTTTATTTATTACACCATGAACAAACAAACAGAGCAAAAACACCTTTAAGGCTTGCTGGAGTGTCTTTAGAGAAAGGCAGGGGGTCCGGGGAGATTATCAGCATCGTCAGCTTACTGAACATCAATCCATAAACAGCCATGACCAGGCCCTTTTGCTGAACCTGGTCCAGGAAGTTGGCTGGACTGAGAGGTCGTAAAAAAAACGTTAATCTGAGCGAAACAAGCCTGTTTATCTTAAAATGTCCAAATCTCACCTGAAGATGCTGGATGATCCTCTGGTGAATCCCTGACAGAACTTGTTCTTCCTGGTGAGAGCTGCCAGGATCAGCATGATCACAAACTGCAAACAAAGACCACACAAGTGCATTTATTCCTAAACTCAATTCAAGTTTGCCTCGAAAAAGGTTCCCCTGCTACATAATTTAAGCCTGATCATGTTAGGAGACCATAAAATAAAAATAAAACCCTGCAATGCAAATGAAGGAAGCAGGTCTTCAGTTATCCAGCTAACTGATAGTTTGTTTTTATGAAGTCGGGTTTTGTGAAGTTTGTATCTTACCTGACAGTAAATCATATTTACAGCAGTATGGCTGGTTTGAAGAGTCAGAGAAAAATGTCCTGATGCATCTCAGTAATCCAGGTAGAAATTTAAGTGGGTCCCCTYGACTGGTMCTTATTTGACTGAAGAAGTCTCTTGGAGGAGAAATGAACCATTCCATTAAAGAAGAACCYTCCAGAGGACCTGCTTAGATTGATTGATTGATTGATTGATTGATTGATTGATTGATTGATTGATTGATTGATTGATTGATTGATTGATTGATTGATTTGAATCATATAAAAAGTTTTAATAAACAGTTGATTGAAGGAAGGAAGGAAGGAAGGAAGGAAGGAAGGAAGGAAGGAAGGTCAAACAGAGTTGGTCTGTTTAGAAGAAAGATGCCAACAGTAAAAAAAAGAAATAAACCTCAAACCTAAAAAAAAGTTCAAGCAAATGTTTTACTGTAAATATTCACATGTGCCTGTCATGATTTGTGCTTTTGTCTTCATTTTCCAAGTGCTTCTCTGTTCCCCGGTGTTTTTCCTCCAGCCCCGCTCACGCACACCTGATTCCTCTTGTGTCTCCCCAGGTGTTTCCCAGTAACTCTTAATTTGTTTGCTTTATATTCTGKGTCCTGTCCTGTGTTGTCAGATCATTGTGTCTTGTACCTGTGTTCAGTCCTCCTCATGCCTGTTCCTCCAGAAGAGTCTGTGAGTTATTTTGAGCTGCATCCACAGTTTGTTGTCTTTTTGAACCTCTCCTGCGCCCTGGGTTTTTTCCTGCTCCTTTCCTCACAGTGCCCACCAGTTGACATTTTGCACTCATTGATTACACAGAGGTTACCTCTTTGTGCTCTTGCACAAACACACATATCCCTGCWTTACAAGTCTTCTCTGGTCCAGTGTCCCTATGTGTTCCTAACTCAAAAGACAGATCTGTTGGATTTATTCACCACTGAGCGGAAATTGTGTATCGCGAAAAATTATTTGCTCAGCCAACCAAAATGACTGTGTACCAGGGCACAAAGCAAGGTCCATAAACATATGGATATCTGGGTCTGGTGTGGATGAACTTGACTGGTCTGRATAGAGTCCTGACCTCAACCTGATAGAACACCTTTGGGATGAATTTGAGCGGAGACTGAGAGCCAGGTCTTCTGTCCAACATCAGTATGTGACCTCACAAACGTGCTTCTGAAAGACTGGTCAAAAATCCCCATAAACACACTCCTAAACCTTGTGTACAGCCTTCCCAAAAGAGTTGAAGCTGTTCTTGCTGCAAAGGTTGGACCAACGTCATATTGAACCCTATGGATTAGGAACGGGATGTCACTTAAGCTCATATGTGAGTCAAGGAAGGTAAGTGAATACTTTTGGCAATATAGTGTAAGTAAATCCAACAATCTGTTTTCTGAGTGCAGGTCCTCCAGCAGCTCAATAATGCCACTGCTTGATAGATGATCTGTCTGTACTGTTTTTATTTCTGACAGTCCAAATATGTCGACATGTGGACTGAACACTGACTCTCTCTCTATCGTCTGTCATTGCATCTATAGCTCGTTTTTGTTACAGTGACCACAGACACTGGTTCTTGCTAGATGCAAAACCCACGACCAGTTCTCTTTCCAGTATTTTGCACATCCTGATACTTCTTCATATACATGAAGACAAACCATCTAACTGGATTGCAGTTGCTYTTTTGAACATTTGAAAATAAGCAGCTTTGTGCATACTGTGAAGTTTACACGCCACTTTATAAACACACACCTTTAGTAGATCAGGCTCAAATTGCATTCTCATGTATTTGTAGGCAAACACTACCTATATAGATTGGCACGCTAAAAATAATAATAGAAAGCTGGTTTAAATCTTCATTTCAAAAGTGGACACAAGTAGATTACATCGTCAACATTGGGGCAGCTGCCAAGAAGGATACGAAGATGAAAGATGTTGGTACAGTGACCGGAGGCAGGCAGCTTCTCTTTGTACCCAAAAAAAAAAAAACACAGGTACAAACTGACAAAAATTGTAACGATTTGGTTTGGTGGAGAAACAAACTGACCTGAAGCAACAGGAAACTGTGTTGCAGTGCAAAAATCTATGACATCATGTCGGCACGCACACAGAAACAATCTGTTCTGTTTGTTTTAGTCTTCATGTCGTCTTCGAAAGTAGCTCATTTAAAATGCTGCAGCTTTATAAAGTCAGAGACTTGTTAGTCCGGTGGATCTTGTTTTAAAGGCTTATTTTTTCAGGCTGCTGAGGCTGATTTTTGTTCAGCAGCAGAACATCAGCTGAATGARTGAGTGGGTCATGAGTGCCCTACATGCATTCTGACCCAGTTATAATAATCTCCTCTTGTAAATGAGCAAAGGCGAAAGAGACAATAAACATAATTCAACTGAGGTTCAACAGAAGCAAAGACTTTTATAAAAATGCACCTAAATCTCAAAAAGAAAATGTAAAGACCTTTTTTACTTTGTTATAATGCAAACAAAAAAGATATATTTCCATAACTTGTATCATTTTAAATGTAGTGTCAGTCTGACATCAGTACATTACAGTGAGTTTAGATTAACAGGAACTTGAGTGTAAAGTTTCATGACACACAAGCAGTAATGTTTTCCATCCACACACACTCTGCYGCTTTGCATTGTTTGATGTGTTCTGATTCTTTGTCTTATTTTCTTTACAATGTAAAACTACATTTATGTTTGGTCTGTGTGTGTGAGTTTACTTACAGAAACTGATATCATGCAAATATGGAAGTATTTGTCATCTGCTGTTGGGTCACATGGTACAATGACTCTGAGACAAAAAGAGTTTTAATCTTATTTTTCTGCTAATTAAGACAAGAAACACCAAGAACTTAAAATAGTTGTAACTGTATTTATAACAGAGATCTGAGCTCATTCCTTGCATCAGTTTAATCAGTTTTTCATAATAAGATATATTTAAATGTTGAGTTCAGTTTTATACTCACTCTTTAGGTGGTTTGGTTGGCTCGGGGTTTGAGTACCAGTCGGAGTAATCATCGTAGGAATATTGAAAAGGCTCAAATTCAGTTTTAGTTTGATTCATTGCAGCTGCTTGMTTCAATCAAACAGGTGAATGAAAAAATGTGTGCAGATCCAGACGACTCCTCCTGAGCCAGGAAACAACGAGCTGGTGRTGCAGAGTCCCACAGACTTCAACACATTCCAGCCCAGCCAAGAGCTCAGAGCAGATTAACAGCTGCACTGGAGAGAGAGGCCAGGTCAGGTTCAAATATACAAAAACAACATGAAGACAGGGAGGAAGAAATGTTCTTCATTCACCTTAACATTACATACAGTATGGACAGATTTTATGTATTCTTTACTGGATCTTTATCAGTCACACTGGATTATGGTTCAAATGTGTTRTCAAATTACAAATGCATGCATGTGTCAAACTATCCATCCATCTTTACCTGCTTCTTCCTTTCAGGGAAGCTCATATCCAGCAGTCACTGTGTGAGGTGTAGGTACACTCTGGACAGGTCACAAGTCCATCACAGGGACACATAGAGACAAACCAGTCACTCTCACTCACACACAGGGACAATTTTGAGTTACCATTTAACCTAACCTAAGTGGTGGACAGTAATGGAGTACATTTACTTGAATAATGAAGTACATTTTTTGAGTATCTTTACTTTACTTGAGTAATTATTTTTTGGGGTACTTATGACTTTCACTTCACTACTTTTCAAAGACAAATATTGTACTTTTGACTCCACTAGGAAGCTTTTAGTTACTTGTTACTTTTGGTTTAGCATAATTTTGTAATCAGCTGTTGCCATTTATCTTTCTTGAAATGTAATTGGCCACACACTGTGTTCCTCACAAGGGGAACCAATCAGTTGTAGCTCATACATGGGATAGATTTGGAATTACATTATCTCCGTTAACTGAGCTGAGCTCCCACCTTGATTTTATTTTATTTTATTTTATTTTATTTAGAAATTTATTAATTGAACTGAAAACACATAAAAATCAAAAACTAAATTTAAAACACCACCTCAACAGTTTGCATGGATTCACTTATGTTTCTCCATATTTCTTCAGAATACTAGATTTTATCATTCACTTCAATATACTGTATACAAAGATCTGGCATTTTTTTACCTTATCTTCCATGCTGTTCCACAATCTTATTCCCTGGATTAAAGTGGATTGATCCTTCAGTCTCGTACGAAACCAGGGTTTCACAAACATTTCCCTTAAGATAATAACAGCTCTCTCTTTGAACAAAATTTACTTGAATGTTGGAAGGTAACACACCTTTATGAGCTCGGTACATTCAGCAAAATATTATAATCGACCAAATCATAAAATTTTAATAATTTCAATTCATGAAACAATATATTCGATGGATGGCTGTAATTTTTTCTAGTAATAATGCTTAGGCTATAGCTCTTTTCTGTAAAATAAAAATAGGATTTGGGATAGTTTTGCAAGCTTCACCCCATTCTTAAATACAGTAAATTAAATGTGGAACAATTTTAGCGTTAGACAACATAAATAGTGCTTTATCATTGAACAGTTCTCGTAATTTGTACAGGACACCAATGGATTTGGCTACTTTTGTTCTTAAATTATTTATATGATTTTTCCACGTCAGTTTTTCATCAATGATGCCACCTAGAAACTTCACTTCACTGACTCTACAGATCTCAGTATCATCAATTTTAAATGAAACATCTATAGTTCTCTTACTGTTACTGAATAACATATAATTTAATATCATTTCAAATAGAACCCAGCAATGGAGACGGTTGAAGACAACCAAGAAACCAAGCCCACCCATGAATATATCAGCTCGATGCTTGAGATTTTAGGACTGAAAAACAGTTCCTATCAGTTTAAATGTCTTCTGTGTTRATGGCAGATAAACTACATTTCTGAATTTAAGAACTCATCACTCACTTTATTAAAATTTTATGCTGAAGTCTTTACAGGAGGTGAATTTGTAGCAGAGTGGTTCTGCATGTCAATACATCTGGTGATTTATGAGAGTTACAAGGTTCTGTAAAACCACTCTGAAAACAATACAGCAATGTACTGATATTAGAAATTTTAATTGTACTTTTGAATACTTAATATTTTAAAAGTAAGTACTTCAGTACTTTAACTTGAGTAGATTTTTGACCGAGTAACTTTTACTTGTAGGCTAGTTGAGTAGATTTTACCATGAGTATCAATACTTTTACCCAAGTACTAGAGTTGAGTACTTTGTTCACCACTGCCTAACAGTCATGTTTTTGGTGAGGGAGACAAAACCAGAGTGCCTGGAGAAAACCCACGCAAGCACAGAGAGAATGTGCAAACTCTACCTAGAAAGGTCCCTGGCCAGGATTTGATCCAGCAACCTTCTTGAGAGGTAACAGCTCTACCCACTGATCCACTGTCACCCTGTCAAACTAATTCTTACTTCAGCTCTAACTTTCTTACCTCTCCATCTGGTCATGCTCAGTTTATAAAATTTATACTAAGTGCTGAAATTGACCTATATTGAAGTTTCACAAATCAAATATATGTTTCACAAATCACACACTTGGTTTTAAATACTCTGCAATCAAATAATTTAGTCCAGGTTTAAATTCTCTATGTGTTTTAGTTTTAAACTAGAGCAGATTAAAGATGCTCACAGTAGTGAAAATATAGGTGGAATTGTCCTTTACCCAGTCATGAAAACTTCAGTTTTTTCTGATAAATTTAAGGCTTTACAATGTCAGAAAATATTTTGTTTAAACACAGAAAGTTTCTGATTTTTTCTCCCAAATTTATAACATTTATACGTAAGAGAATTTCCTATTGTTTTTGTGAAAATTTCTGAAACTAATCTCAGAAATTCTGAGTTTTTGTCAGAGATTTAATCCTTTTTTTCATCTGCAAAATGGCCCTAATATGACAGTATTAAAAAGTCAAATCAAAAAGTATATGTTTGTATAAATACTCTGTTTTGATGTTCTTTTATCGAGACTTATTGTGAGATTTCTTGTTGAGATTATTTTGTGCTGCAACGTTTGCTCACCTGGTCTGTTGCTTTAGAGACTAATCTCCTAATAAGAAAATCTCTTGTTTAAACAAAGGGGGTCTTTGTGTGAAACCAGCTTAGCAAAGGGCAAATAGAGCGTCAACATGTGAGACTTCAGCTCAGAATAATTTTCCATTTTATTCAAATGAAACAGTTTCAGACTCAAGGCGAGGTTCAAGCCAGTTGAGTCATCACAGAGCAATCTGTGGTCTCATTTCTTGTGATAAATGTTTAAAAGCTGCTGTAGATTTAGCAGAAAGTCTTTGTTGTGAAATTAGAAAGTGCTCTAGAAGTTTCTCTGAATCTGTGAGATCAACATATGATGTGATCCCAGTTTTTTTTTTCCCCAGGAGCATTTGAGTGTCTCTGGGTCGGGATGAAGGTTTCTGATCTTCAGGATCAGACAGGCCAAAACTCCAGACTAATGAAGTAGAGTTAAAGGTGAGATTTTTTTTAAAAACTTTGTCACTACAAATCCTGTTGAATCATACATCCATCATCTAAACCTGTTTCTTTTATCCTGTTAAATATATATATGATAAATGCAAAGTTTCTRTTTTCCATTGTTGAGTGTTGGAGATTTTCCAGCTCTAAGAAGGATGCCGTCACAGATTTTTGTTGTTCTTGATATGATGGAGTTGTGTTCTCCTCCATGACAGAGCACCTGGAAACTTTGTGTTACGCTTCATTTGTGCATGCCTGGATGTTTTTTGGTATTCTGATTTCTTCCCAGAAACAAAAATGATGTATGTCAGGTAATTTGGAAAGGAAATTGTCAGCTGGATGGATGGTATCATCTTCTAAAGAAAATAAGTTAAAAGTTGTGTTTTTTTGCATTGCTTTAAGAAGGGAGTGAGACCCGACCAACCCTCTTATCCATTATATTATGCAATCCCAAAAACTCAGATAATGATACAAGATATTCAGTTTATTGTCATTTATGTCAAAGAAAAACAACAAATCTTAAATGCAGAGAGTTGAACTATTTTTTAAGTATGACTAACGTACATAATCTCTGAAGGTTCACCAAAGGCACACGATTAATTATTAAAACATTGTTTTTCAGTTAAGTTATTCAAGCTGAACTATAAAAAAAAACCTGGAAACCTCTGAGCTGGAAGAGCTGCAGCGAACATTTAAATATTCATACAACTCAATATAAATAAATGTGTAAAACTGACTATAAAGGGAAAGTCGTTCTTCACTGTCAGGTTCTTCTGGAAAKCAAGAGCAGACATTTTCCTCATTTTTTTCCCAAGGTTTTCCCACAGAAAAACCAACATGTCGTTATCACGAAATAACGATGAACGTTTTCTCGAGATAACGTAATTTACCGACAGTTTTCTCGAGACGAGTTATGGTTTTCCTCTTGTGTGTCATTTGGTAGTTATGAAGACATCCTGGTCTCCTCAGCTGGTCACCAATGAAGTTTACTGTCAGGCTGAAATTACAGTTTGTCTTGTACAGATAACTGTCYTGTCAGCCCTCGTCATTTAAAGAGACAGCTGACCCAACTGGAGATCAGCATGCATTTACACTTTWGAGATGCTGCTGATATAATAAACTTTGTACTGAACGATACACAAAAGGAATACCATAACTTATCTCGAGAAAATCATGAGAAAAAATTATCTGCGGAAAACACCATCTCTCAGCTTCCACAGGTTTTAGAGCTCAGACTTGTTTCAATTCAACATCAGTCCACTTTGATTTTGGCCCCGTCTGAACTAGCTGTTAACTCATCAACCCCATCAGAAATTAACTGTTTTTATCCAAACTCAGGTCGACCAAAATGCTGTCTACAGCAGGTAAGATGATAACTGTTAAACAGATTTAAACCATCCTTGTTTATAAGTGTTGTGACTGAAACCAAAAAATAAATTTTCTTTCTAAATGCCGATCATTTATAATAACACTACATATTTAAATCATTTGTTTATTATCCAAATTCAGGCCAGTGAAGCCATGGAATGCTTTTAATAGGCTTTTAACTTGAAATGTGGAGGACATCAGCAGATCCTGAATCTCTCCTCATGGCCTCATTTTAAAACAGGACAGTGAATGTACTCAGCTCCTCGTTTCAGGGTTCAGACTTTTGAGTTATGTATTCATAATTGACTGTTTTTATATATGTTTTGCTGTAATAAAGACAAAAAAGAGAGKTTGATGGACTCTGTAAAGAGCTGAATCTCAGACGTATTGATTGTTTTAATGTGATGAAATAAAGAATCAAAAGTCATTTGAGCTGTTTTCATTTTAACAAACCTTTAAAATATGAAGAGAAGAGTCACAATAATCAGAGACAGAGTATGCAGTCCATCTAATAAACAATTTCTTTCACAGAAACACACYACTCTAAAAGACAGAACTGGGTCACTTCAGACACAAATCAACATCTAAGTATGATACAAACTGATAGCGAGGCYGGCCCGACGACGGGAACCGAAATGCTTTTTCCTGAATGAATTGACACGGAAGCAACAAAACAATAAAGTGGCCTTTAAAAAAATAACAACGTGCAGAATATCTGATAAATATGTACAAAGCAGAAATGAGTCCTCATCAGGTCCAAACCAGGAGGTGGCTGCAGACTGACTCAGTTTTTGAACATGTCACACAGCAGCTTCTCCATAGGAGTGTTTCCAATGGTCCTGTGGAAGAAGAGCAGCTCGATCCGCTCCGAGTTCACGAAACGCAGCGAAGGAAGCAGAAGAAGCAGCTTTCCAAACCTAAACCCAAACATAACATAACGATAAAAAATAAAATAAATATCAAATATTCAGCTGTAAAAATGAGTCGACTCAGTTCATAAAAAATCCAGCTTTATTGCTCCATCGTTCACGACGTAGAGAAATAATTCAAAATAAAAGAAACTAAACCATGAARTGTGTAACCATAAAACCCCCAAAACATACAGCATCTACATTTTGTTATATTTGGTTCCCTCTTGTGGCCACAGCACTAACTAATAATCTTTATTTCAGTTTATAAAGCAAACAATTCATGCTTTAACTTTTAATTTACTGAGTATACAACTTTATAAAATGGCATAAAATATCTAAAG